TCTCTGCTAAAAGCCTCACAGCAGCTGCAGGATAACGTGCACATTCCTGGCAAGCGCCCATGAGGCCCTGCCCGGGTGGGCACCCACTCCCAACCCCATGCTCCACTCCTGAGCCCCGGCCCCATGTCTTCTCTTGCTGGCCTCCTATCCAAGAGGGCGACTCACCCAGGAACGTGGCTGTGCCTCAGTCCTCTCCAGATCCAAAGGCTCACCAGGGTTTGGCAGGTATTCAGCTAGTTCACGCCTGATGAATGAGTGAATGGGCCTGGAGGATCATGGTGGCAAATGCCGCCTGGGACAACTAAGGGCAGGGGTGGGGTTCCCTTGGGGGGCAGGACTCACTCCCTACCTTGGACTTTGTTGGGGGTGGAGCACCAGGGAGACCCACAGCTGCCTCTTGAATAAAGCTCCGTGCAGGGAACGTGGTATTATTGCACCCATCGCACAGGGGAGGAAACAGGACCGGAGATGCAAAGTGACTTGTGGAGGTCACACAGTGAATTAGGGCCACGAGTGGGGCCAAGGAGCAGCCTGTCTCTGGCTAATGTCCTAGATGCCCCCCTGGGTAAGTCCCCTGCCCCCATCACCTGTGCCCCTCCCCCAGATGCCACTGCAACTAGGAACCTGCTGGGAGCTGGAAGAAGGATGGGCAGAGGGGCCACCTGGCAGGCGCCCTGGCAGGCGCCCTGGCAGCCGGGGTGACCTGTCTTCTCAGGAGATGTCAGGACCTGGGCAGTCTCCTTCCTCTTTGGTCCTGGGGCCTGGAGTGGTGGCCCTTGGGCAGACCTACAGAGCCCTGGCTCATAGGTATGGGACTGCCACACCTCTGCCCTTTTCAACACACACTGTGTGCACTCTGTCTGAGCCAGACCCTGGGCCAGATGCGAGGTTCAAAGAGCAAGGCCATTCCCCCACCTCCAGGGGCTCCGCTCAGACGGGCAGGCACCCTCCCACCGTCACCAGCACAGAGAATGTGGAGAGGCCGAGAAGTGCGCCATCGGGAGCCTGCGCAGGAAACTGAGGGGCGCTGGGGGAGAAGAGGGCTGGCATCCAGCCACCCATCCCAGAGAAGCTGCCTGGCCGGCTGGCAGCGGCACGAAACAGGAACCAGCCGCGGTCCTCAGCCCCGCCCGTCGGGTGGCGTTCTCCATCCTGGCCGCAAGGCGGCGGGCTGCCGCTGCAGGAGCCGGAGAGAAGGCGGCGCAGACCCAGGGAAGCCAAACGAGGACGACCTAGAGAGTCTGGGTGGACCCTCTGTTACTGCCAAGCGCTTCGAAGTCTTACCTCGTTTAAGGCTCACAACCCTAATCCTTAGGTATTGTGCTTACACCAGAGGACGCTGGGCCTGGGGGAGCGTCCTCGTGTGTAAGTTACAGCTGGCAGGTGACCCAGCAGAGTCCAATTCTCCTTTCCCCAGCCTCAAAACCTGAGCTCTGCATTGTAACGAGACGGGCGGAGGGAAGACCCAGCAGCGGGTCTACGTGTCTCCTTCGTCTGGGCATCCCGGACTCAGTCCTGGCACATGGTGGGCATCAATGTTCATGGTAATGACATCAGGCACAGCGAAAGAAATTAGGGGCTCCCAAGGTTCAGAGGTCATCTGTCCACCCCCTCCCTTTGGGCTGAAGAACAAACCCAGACCCTGAGTGAGGAAGGGAACTGCCTCTAGATTATCACAAGGCCGGTGGCAGATGGCAGAACGGTTCTGAGCATCCTTTCTTCCCCTCGGGCTGCCCCTCCCTGAAAAGTTCCTAAAGTTCAAAATGTCAGGGTCGCCCAGAGTGTTCTGGGGATGTAAGAGCGTTTATAAAACGTGCTCTATTTTCGATTTCCCAGATTAACACAACTGGATTCTGAAGAGGAAAAAAAAGCAACCTTACTTAACCGGACGTCTTTCTGAAACAAACTCATCAGGAGTTCTTTAAAAAATAAAAAATAAAAAGGAACTGAAATTCTGGAAGCACCCTGAAAGGGAAGCAGACGCCAGACTTTCACATCCACCCTCTCATCTGACCCCAGGCTCCTGGGAGACGGGCAAGGCGGTTGAGCTGGCGGCAGGCCCGCAATCCCCCGTTCCATGCCCAGATGCGCTTCGGAATACAGAACAGCTGGGACTTGGAAAGATCTCGTGAGGCACCCACCTGCTGTGGGTTACATTACCTCCCATCAGGGCTTGGGGCAGCCGCCGGCTATCGCGCTCATTTGCATTTCTGCAGCAAAATATGAATATTCACACAAGCGCGATAAATAAAGACCATCAACAGCCTCACATCAGTTCAAGCGCAATTTTGCCACCAATTGGGTTACGGAAAACCTTTTGGGCTTCCAGGGAGCTTTGGAGCCTGGGAATTGCAGATGAGGGACCGGGAGCCTGCACTGTTTCGCGGCTGGGGAGAGGGAGCTCATCCGAAGTCTTCGGACAAAGGTGGGCGTCGTGCCCGATGCTGAGCGGAGCGGGTCTCCTCGCGCCCAGGCTCCCTGCGGGCGCGGTCCCCAGTGAGCCTCCCCGCCTCCGCGCCCGGGGTCGTACCTGCTTGGTGCTCTCCTCCCTTGGCTGGCCGCGCACCTCCTAGATGGCCTCTTAGACGTTCTCTGAGTCGCTGCGCGCCAGGGGCAGCAGGCACACCCAGGACACTGCCACGCTGCAGGCCTTGAAGCTGCCGCTGCTTCCGAGGTGGCCGGCGGGAGGCGAGAGGGCGGCGCGCGCCAGGTTGTCCAGGGACTGCGCGGGCCTCAGGTACAGGCAGGCGGGCAGGCCAGGCGCCAGGCTGCTGCGCTGGGTCGCGGCGCCGCGCTGCGCAGGGCCGCACAGGGAGCTGGCGCCGCCTCGGGGCTCCGCCGGGGGGCCATTGGGGCCCGCTGCCGCCGCCGCCCCCACGAACCGGTTGTCATAGGAGAACGGCTCGGGGGCCGCGGGGCCGGTTGGGGACCTGGCGGCGCGGCCGCGGCAGGGTTGTCCAGCGCACGCAGCTCGCGCACGTACTGCGCGGGCAGGTAGAAGGGGCGGCCGCCGGGCTCGCGCCGCAGGTGCCACCGGTGCTCGGTGCTGCGCCGCAGCGGCCGGTAGAGCTCATTGGGCGGGATGGCCACGCGGCGCCCATTGTTGCCGGTGTACTCGAAGGCATACTCCACCAGCACGTACACGTCTCCCTCCACATCTGCCGCCATCGCGGCCGCGGCGTTTTCCTCCAGGCAACAAGGAGGGCCGCGGAAGTCAAGACAACCGAGCCCGGAATAGCCCCGCACGCAGGTACAGACACGGGTTCGAGTCCCGATGCTGCACTTGCCGTTCGCCTTCGGGCCTCAGTTTTCCCATTTCTAAAATGGGGACTTGCATAAAATCACATCTGAGGCTTCCATTCTTACACTCACATCTAAGGCTTCCATTCTTACACTCAGTGCTGGAATTAGGACAACCCCTTCATTCCGTGGGGCTGATTCTAAGATTTGAGCCTCGCTTGGGTGAGGAGATTGTGGGTAGTCTTGATCCAAATCGACTGCGAGGGAAACCTTGGCTTTAAAACGAGGGGTGATTGCCTGCTCTAAGGTCGACACCACGCTTGCTTAATAGTTGACTGAGCCTTAGTTTTCCCGTCAGTCAAGTAGGAAAAGTAGCCCATTTCCTGCCGTTCCCCGGGCCCTGTCCCACCTGGACGCCTCCCGCCCGCAGAGAATCCGCAGAGGGTCCCGTTGCACCGCCTCCCTCCGCGAGCCTGCGCCCCGGCCCCTGGGTCGGGGTTGGGATGCGGGCTCTGCAGACGCCCCGGTGAACAGCTCTACCTGGGGGCTGTCCCTGCCCCGCTTAGTCCGAGGGCCTTGGTGTGGGGGCCTCCGCTGTCAAGGCGGGGGACCGGTTCTCTCGGTTTCTCTCTCCTTCCGCAGCTGCTTCAGCGCAGACGTGACCCCTAGCCGGGCCCGCCCCGCCCCCTGCTCTCCGGCTCTCACGCCGCCCCGGAGAAAGGCTGCCCACTTGCCCTGGGACCCCTACAGTGCCCCCACGAGAGTGGCCCCTGGAGAATGCACTCTGAGACAGTGACTATCCGTGCGGAGTCCCCGAGCAGGGGCCCCCAGAGCTCTCTGGAGTGGTCACAAGCCCCACTCCCGCCCTGGCTCCGGTGTGTCAGGGATGGGGGAGAGCCTAACTAAATCTGCCTGCGCCCCTCCACCAAAGCCACGAGTCAGTGGTCTTCTCCGGAAGTGCATGGCCCCTCCAGACTCCCACACTGACCACACCTCCTCCTGCCCCCTAAGGTGACCCGGACCAGGGGCCAGGAGACCGTCGCTGGCCGAGGCTGAGGGACCGAAGAAGCAGGGTCCAACCGAGGCCCCCGTAGGGCTCCTTCGCCACTTTCTCAAGCGTTTCTTGACGAGGAAAGGGTGTACACTGAGTCACTACGCACAGTGGGCCCCGGAGGCGGGGTCATCGAGCTGCCCTGGGCAACAAACCCCAAGGTGGACGCTGCCCCCGGCGCCCCTTCTCCCTGGACCCCGTAGCGCACTCACGTCGGCTGGGCTGGTCTCAGGGAGCCCAAGGGCCCAGTGGGCGGAGCCGGCAGGTTAGGCCCCTACCATCGCCCTGGGCCGGGCTTCCAGGGGCCAGGCCGGAGAGGCTGCGCGGAATCGGAGCTGGCAATGGCAGCAAATAGGGACAGGGACGCTCAGGAGTGCTGTCACCGATACCCAAAGCAGCTGTGTCTGGGCGGGGCGAGGAGGAGCCTGAATGCCTCTGCTGGGGACCTTGCGGGGCATTGGGACGAGGCCCGGAGCAGAAGGCCGGGGCCGGGAGCCAGAAAGGCTGCGTCTGAAGGGGCGCTGGCTGGTCGCTAGCGGAGCCCAAGAAGGGTGGGGCTGTCCCTGCCCCGTCTTCCCCCTTCCCTTCTCCCCCGGGGATTTGCTGTCCCGGAGTCCCTGCGTCCCTCCCGCGCGGCTCTGGGAATGCCGGGTTGGCGGGTTGGGGCTGGTTGTCTCGTGCGGGCGTTCCTGCTCGCGGGGAGGTTATTCGCACCCTGAATCACCCACTTCGAGTCCTTCCAACCGGATTGCAGACCCGCCGCTCCGGGTCCACCTCCCCCACCGGGGCCTTTCCAGCCCGACCGGGCCTGGAAAAACTCCGAGCGGGATTCCCAGCGCAGGGACGCCCAACGGAGCGCAGTGTCTCGGGCTGGATAAGACGTGGACCCGGCTACAGCTCCTTCGCCAACCTGGGGGAACACAGAGAAGGGGAGGGATTGGTGGGGGCCGGGAGGATCCCTGGAGCACAAGATCGCACCCGTCCCCAGGAGGTCCCCTGCGTCCACCGCCGAGGTGACACAAGCTGCAGCGGCGTCAACGCCTGGGTCGGCACTGGGGGCCTGGGCCTGCTCCCCTCCTGCCGCCAGATGGAGGGCAGCCCTTCGCCTACCTTCTCCTCCCCGTGGGATGAGGCCTGCGCAGCCCCCGCCCCAGCACCGAGACAAGAGGAGCAGGGCCAGGAGCTCTTCGGTGCGGACCCGCCACCGGCCGCACACTTTCCTCCCCATCCTGCCCCTTGCCCCACCCCCACCCCACCTCCCACTCCCTCCCACTCCCTCAATCCCCGCTCGGCGGCCCACTGCCTGCCCAGGCACTTTGGAGTGTCCGCTCGCCGGCCTCGCCTCCACTTGTCCCAGCGGGTGCGCGTGGGCTCGGTGTCCAGCGCTCGCTACTCCACCGCGCGGTTCCCGCGCTGCCCGGTTTCCTATTCAGCAATATAAGTAGGAAGGCACCGGTGGAGAGCGCCTGGCAGAACTTCCTCCCGGACTGGGTCTGGGCTGCAGTTGCGAGAGACAGTCCCTGGCGTCCTGGCTTCCTGACCCCTCTGGGCCAGGCCAGCGCCTGAAGAGCGAAGACACCACCCCCTCCTCTGCACTTCCCGGGATCCTGGGCCACACCTGGCTGTCTCCAGGGAGGAAGAGGATGCGGGGCTCAGATGGTGGGACTGAGGATGGCAGGAGCCTCCCCCTCGCAGCTTCTCCTGGCCAGGTTACCTTCCCACCATCCCCAACTGCCTCTTGATCCTTGCGGGGAAGGAGGGCCACCCTCCAATCTGTCCACAGGGTAAGCTCAGAACAACCTCCTAGAGGCCAGGAGTCTAGCCCCAGCACCCTCTGCCTTGGGGGTCTTCTGTTTGGGAATTACCTGCCTCTCTGGACAAGCTGCCTCGCCCTGATCTGAGCCTGCGCTCACTCCAGACATCCCAAGCCACAGCCCCAGCAGACCCCTTGCCCTCAGGGGCCCCAAAGAACAGTTGTGCCTGTGGACCTGGCTGTGTGTGCCAGGAGCTGGCTGATTCAGGCCAGTGTTCTGGGAGGAAGAGGGGCCCGAACCCCAGGCCATGGCCCCTCTTGACACCACCTCCTGGGGGTCCAGGGTTGGGTGGGAAGCTGAATCTGGCCACGCTCATTCTGGAACTCCCTTACCTCTGTATCTTTGCCCCTGCTAGGCATTGCCACCCGTGAGTCCCCACTTCCTCTGATAATCTCAGTGTGTCTGAGGCTTGGTGGCACCTTGGGACCCTCCAGGGTAGGCACACAGCAGAACTCGGCATCCGTCTTTGGTGCCCGACATGCTTAGAAAATAGTGACTGAAGGAATCTTCTCCCTGCCTACCTTTTAGGTGCCTCCCCACCTGCAGCACAGCCAGGCAGCGGTGATGGTCTTTGGTGGGGCCAGGCTGGTATGATACCCCACTCTGCTGCTTGGCGGCTGGTAGGCCTTGGGAGCTCTGCCTTATCTCTGCAGCTCAGCTTTCTTTCCTATCAATAGTAACACTCACGTCGCTGGATTATTGGGAGGATTAAATGAGGTCCACTAAGCAGAGCTTACCACATGCCCAGCGCACACAATATACCAGCTATTTTTTTTTCTTTTTTTGAGATGGAGTCTGGCTCTGTCACCTAGGCTGGAGTGCAGTGGCACGATCTCGGCTCACTGGAACCTCCGTCTCTGGGTTTAAGTGATTCTCCCGCCTCAGCTTCCTGAGTAGCTGGGATTACAGGCCCCTGCCATCATGCCCGGCTAATTTTTGTATTTTTGTAGAAACGGGGTTTCACTATGTTGGCCAGGCTGGTCTTGAACTCCTGACCTCAAATGATCTGACTGCCTTGGCCTCCCAAAATGCTGGGATTACAGGCATGAGCCACCGTGCCCACCTATATCAGCTATTATGACACTTATATTACGTGATGAGCTCTTGGGGGTTGGATTGAAATCTGCAAACCACCTCTCCTCCTTCAGGCAGAAGAGAAGGGGAAGTCCCAGCTACTTATGAGGCTGAGGCAAGAGAATTGCTTGAACCCAGGAGGTGGAGGTTGCAGTGAGTTGAGATCACGGTACTGCACGCCAGCCTGGGCAACAGAGTAACTCCATCTCAAAACAAACAAACAAAAAAGTTGGGGAGAAGGGGAAACAAGTGCCCTCAGAGGCACTTAGTTGAGGATGGAGAAGGGCTGAGCCCACCTGCAGGGCAGAACCAGGTCACATGCCGTGACCCTCCACTGGGCCTCCCTCCCCCAGTTTCTCTTATCTTCTCTGGACCTACCATCTACTGTCCTTGGGGGAAGCTGCGGCACCTAGATGGGCAGAGGATGCCAACTTGTAATCTGAAAGGGGCCTTCAAGGACAGGAAATCTCAGATCTGAATGTTGTCTATTTCTATCTCATTTTACCGCAATCTGATTTCCCTGAGAATTAGTCTGTTTCTGAGGGCGCCTTCGAGAAGAATCCTCACAGGCCCAAGCCCTCCCCAGGCCAGGCTCCTGCCCACTCAGGGATGGGGCAATGAGGGCTCTGACGAGGCCAGGCTTGTGGGGGAGAGTTAATGTGGGCCATGGCAGGTGCATAACCCAGCTCCTGGTTTAGGTGGCATTGGCATCTGGGCACGGGTGTGCGCCATGACCTGGAAAAGCTGTGTGCAGCCTCCACTTGCCTGCCACTGCTGCCTCAGTTCTGCTGCACAGGCATCCAGCTCCAAGGCTGGGTGGGTGACTCAGCAGCCGATCGCCCCCAGGGAGGGGTGAGGGTGGGCTCATCTCTGACAGTGACAGGCAGATCTCCACCTGAGGCCTCAGACTCCAAGCTGAGCGCAGGTAAGACAGCTAGGACTGAGGGCCTGCTGGGTCCAGGAGAGGTGGAGGATGGCGACAGAGAGACCAGCAAACCCACATTTCCCCCAAAGCCTCGAGGGTCTGAACTTCACTTCAAAAACAATTCCAGGCTCCCACCCCAGCCCCAAGGCCCCTTCAAAGGCAGTCCTGCTTTGGGGAAGTTCTTCAGTCTCCATGTCCTAGCTGGGCAAGTTCAGTGATGCTGTGGGAATTCATGGCTTTGTGAGGCCGCGGCTGCATCCACAGGGCAGCTCCCCTGCACGCCCCGCACAGCTTAGGGCGAAGGACCGGGTCACTTCTCCACAGTGCAGGGCCGGGCTGCCTGCCCTCTCTGGGGTCCTGCCTGTCTGTGCCCTGGCAGGAGTCAGTCAGGCAGAGAGTGTGACCCCGGGCACCCACCGAGGTGGGCCTGGAGCATCTGCAGCAGCACCCCTGTCTATAAAGGAGTGAGGATCGGGGGTGGGCAAGATGGTGACCCTCCCTAAACCGAGGAGGGCTCAAAGTGCTGACAGTGCTGGTTTCCAGTCATTTCTCCTTCTCCGAATGGGGCCAAGGCCCCGGGCTAGAGAAGAGCTAGGGGCTCTGACGCTGAGAAAGGGGTGGGCTCAGCAGGCAAGATGCACTGGAGTGGGGAGTAAAGACAGAGAGGAAGTGGGGTCACCAGGACTGGCCTTCCCCTGCTGAGGGGCGGTTTGGCACTGGCAGTGAAGGCCAAGGAAAGGCACCAGGTGGGCCCTGTCCCAGCAGTGGCCTGCCCGCCAGCCACCCACTGCCTCTAGGCCAGGCCTGAATGACTCCCGTGCATCCGCTGGGGGTGAGAATGTCCGGATTTCATGGGTGACTCACGTAGGGTCAAGAATAAAAAAATACTTTCTGTTGAAATATGAATGGAAAAACCCACCTTATAAAACAAGACCTTTTCATCAGGAATGTGGAATTGAAAATGCTCCCCAAGCCTCCTTTCCACAGTGTTTGGGCAGCCCTAATGGAGGTGCCGGGACGCTGGTGAGCCAGGGCCTGGTGAGTGAAAGGCCCTGTCTGCCCGGAGACAGGGAGCATCTGGCGGTGGCCATGCCTCCTGCAGCAGAGGGGTGGTGAGAGGGCCAGGGGACATCAGAGGGACTTCCTGGGCTTTCTCTGGGAGGCCAGTGCTCTGGTCACATTTGAGGGTCTTCCTGACAAGGGGACACAGCTGTGACACGGTAAGTATCCTGGGCTGATGGCAAACCCAGCTGGGATGGCTGAGCCGCACTCACCCCCGGCCTTCAGAACGGGGTCAGCAGATGGGCATCAGGCGAAAACGTTCTGTTCCTGGTACTTGCGCCGGCGGGCACAGCGGGGGCAGCCCTTCTTCACCACAGCCTGGCAGCTCTGGTGGAAGATGGTCTTGCACTCGGCACACCTGGGGAGAGAGCAGCACGCCTGCTGGTGCCAGCTGGGCTGGAGGTTGCCCTGTGGCCATGCTGGCCAGCACTTTTGACCAGAACCCACGATACGTCTGTGACATACTGTGTAACCCACGCACGCATGCCGTGCCTCTCCGTTCTGGAACAGGAGATTCTCGAAAGAGTGCTTACTGATATGTCACACAATGCACACTGATTTTCTCTGTACTATTGCAGTTTTTAATAAATGCTGCTTGAAATTCATTAAGGATTTATCATATTTAAAAACATTTACTTATTTATTTTTAAGACAGAGCCTCACTCTGTTGCCCAGGCTGGAGTGCAGTGGCACGATCTCGGCTCACTGCAACCTTTGCCTCCCGGATTCAAGCAATTATCCTGCCTCAGTCTCCCAAGTAGCTGGGATAACAGGTGCCCACCACCACACCCAGCTTACTTTTGTGGTTTTAGTGGAGACGGCACTTCACCATGTTGGCCAGGCTGGTCTCGAACTCTTGACCTCAAGTGATCCACCCGCCTTGGCCTCCCAAAGTGCTGGGATTACAGGTATGAGCCACCGCGCCTGGCCAAGACTGTATAATTTTAAAAACTCACCCCCAGGCCCATTCAGGGCTGAATCCAGGCCAGTGAACACCGACAGAAAAAGAACTAATGTTCCCAGTTCAGTTTTCCACTCCCATGTGGGTTGAGGAAGGTCTGAATGAATTTCTCCACTGAGAGGTTGCTGATAATGAGCAATAACTGGAAACAAGAGTGATCATTTCAGCAACAGAGGCAGTGGCAGTGGCAGCTACCACCCACCAAGTGCCCACTTTGTGCCTGGTCTCATGCCAACAGTGCAGATCGGTAACTCATACAACCCTCCTCAACCCATGCATACACTGAGGCGCCAGGAGGCTCCACGCAGAGAGCCGGCAGCCACCTCTTCTTTAGGAAGACAGATGGTTCCATAAAGGCAGAGGAGTCCTGGGAGAGCTTGTCTTGCCCCCTGAGCTGGACCGGAGCTGCCCATGACTGCCCAGGGCATGGGCTGCCCCGAACAGCAGCACCAGCCCTTGGCACGGCACAAAGCGGATGTTCAATACGTTCCTGCCCATAGAGCGAGGCCTGCTGCCCTGCGTGCTTGGGCCAGGCTGTGGGTGTGGGGAGAAGGGTGGGGCTGGGAGGTGGCTGGCTGGGTGTCTCGCATACCTGACTGTGGTGTCAAACTCAAAGGGGAAGATGATGTCGTGGTGCCGGCAGATCTGGCAGATGAAGCCGCGCTGGGTGCACAGGTCGCAGTGGTAGACGTGCTGGGAGGCAAATTCGATCAGGGTCTTGAGGAATCCTTCATACACCCCGTCTGCAATCTGCGGAGGGCAAGTAGGAATCCTTCATACACCGTCTGCGATCTGTGGGGGGCTGGTAAACTGAGGCCCCAGGCCTTTCAAGCGGCTGCACTGAGGCGCCATGGCACCCTGCCTGGAGAACTTCTACCCCCAGTTTCCACGTGGGCAAGAAAAGCAAACCTCCCTGAGTCAGGCTGAGCAGTGCCAGCGTCCAGCCTGTGGGCACTGAGGTCACTCAGGGCTAATGGGACTCACAGATGAGACCCGACTCCACTGCACCCTCCCCCTGGAGAAAGAAGTATTCCAAACTCTCTTCCTGTGATCCTGGGGTTGCTGGAGTGCTTGCTTATTCCAGGGTGCTGGGGGTATCCGTCCCTGCCCAGGAAGCCGGGGCAGCAGGGCAACCCACCCTGAGCTGCAGAAAAGCTGCAGACTGCTGTCTTCAGTAAACTACAGACACCCCTCCCATCTTCCCTGCTGACTTCTCCGGGAAAGAGGCCTCTCTGGAGGTCTGGGCGGGGGAAGCATGACACTCTCACCTGCTGGAGGTCAGCAACACTGAACCTATGCGGAGACTCCAAGAGATAATCCCTGTGGTTGAGCCTTCAAACAAAACACAAGTGATTCTTTAGAGAGGTTTCCAAGACCCGGGCCAACCTGTGTTGTTTGTTTTCATTCCCCTGGCGCTGCTCACCAGGCAGACACCTGCCGCCTCGGCGGGGCAGGGGCTAGGAGCACAATTCAGCTTGCCTGGGCTTGGGACCTAGTCCTCAAGGTAACTAACTAGCTGGTTGGATCTTGGGCACATTACTTAACCTCTCTGAACCTTGGGTTTCTCTGTCTGGGAAATGGAGTTGTCTGGATTGAGTAACTTATTTAAAGCATTTGACTTGGTGCCAAGCTCCCAGTAAACACGTAATTAATCAGGAGGAGGAGGATGGGTGCTGACACCTGGGACCAGGAACTGGGCTAAGAGCTTCATACGCATTCATTCATTTGATCCTCACAATAATCCTGTGAGGCTAGTACTATCACAATTCCAATTTTGAGAAGAGGAAACAGAGAGGTTAAATCACTTGCCTGAGGTCACACAGCTAGTAGGTGGGATAGCTGAAGATTGAACACAGGGGCCTGGCTCCTGAGCCTGCACCCTTGTCCACCTGCTAAATACCTAGAGATGCAGGCTGTTGTCATTATTGCCACCATCACATACCAGGGACACTGCTGGGGACAGCAATGCACAGGATATGGCCTCTGCATTCCTGTGGCCCCTGGTTTGGCCGAGGGACAGACATTCAAGTGTCTGGTTTCAGTGCTACGCGAGAGCAATTGAGACGTGTCCTAAGTACAGCAGATCCCATTTCAGAGGTGGCAGGGGCAGCAGAGGACAAGGGCTCAGCCACCAATGTGGCTCTAGTTTCCACCACACCAACGGCAGGGATCCAGCGGGCCCCATCCTGATGGAAACACCTGTAGAAAGTCCCCTGGTACAAAACCTGCCTGGCCTGGCTGTGTGTGTTTGGGTGGGTACTGGCGGTGGGAGGTTAGTCCAAGTCAGAGGATGCTTGGGAACCTGCCCCAGGATGCCCCAGACATTTGGGGACAGGATGGTGCCAGCCCTGGGTCTGGGCCTCCCAGGTGCAAGCTGTGGAGCATCTGGATGGGGACTTGGCCTTGTCCCAGCTGGTGGCCTCAGCTGTGGTCCAGGAGAGCCCAATCTGGGGTAGAGACGGTGAGTCCCATCAAGCAGCCACAAAGGCCAAGATGCCAACTGGCCCCTTGGTTTACCATGCTGGTGTCCCCACTAAACTTCCTGCACTCTAGGAAGGGAAGCTGCCATTTGTTACCAAGAAAACATGGGACACAGCGGGTTGGGGGGACACAGGTTGGCCCTGAGCTGGCAGGAGTGTGGGCTGATCTGGATGGAGAATTAGCTTTGCCATCTGTCCTCTGACCACAGTCATGGAAGCCCTGGGAGCCCCTGTGTCCTGGGCCTGTCACCCTCTCAGCAAGGACTTGCGACTGGTTTCTCTGCAGTGCTCAGTCAAGGCCAGAGGGGAGAGAGCACTGACCCAGGGGCGAGAAGTCACTTCCCCTCCTGGCCTCCAGGAGAGAAACTCTGGTGCACCGGGGCACAGCCAGGCCTACTTGGGGCCTCAGTTTCTCCACCCACACAATGAGAACCCTCTTTGTCCTCTGGTGTGAGGCTGGCTACCTGAGAAAGAGACCAGAGGAATCTGGAGAGAGGAAGATGAGGGGAGAGGTCGAATCTTAGCTCCTGGAACCGATGAAGTGACAGGGAAAGAAAGGGCCAGGCAAGGGCTGGAAGATCAGGGGCGCATGGATGGGGGACCTGGGTCCCACCTGTCTCCTGAGCCCCGACTCCTCCTCTGCCCACCACTCCCTGGCTGTCGGGAGGGACACTGAGGTCTGGTGGGTGGACAGGGTGTGGGGCATTTCTGTGATGGCTTCCTCTCAAGGGCTGGAGAGGACACTCTTGGGGGCTTCTCTGGCCCTTGGACACACGTCCAAGGTCTGCCGGAGAGAACCCGGCCAGGCAGCTGCCACTAGTGCCGGACAGCTCCTCCCTGACTTCCTGTCCCACATCCAAGACCTGCCCATGCCTCAGCCCTCTCCTCCTCTCAATCTCCCCTCTGGCAGACTCAGTCCAGGCCCAGCTCCCTGGGTTAATTACACCAGCCGCCACCCAGGGCTCTCCCCTTCACCTACTGCACTCCACTGGGGCCAGAATGGTCTTTTTGTTTGTTTGTTTTTGTTTTTGAGACAGAATCTTGCTCTGTCTCCCAGCCTGGAGTGTAGTGGTGTGATCTTGGCTCCCTGCAACCTCTGCCTCCTGGGTTCAAGCGATTCTCCGGCCTCAGCCTCCCTAGTAGCTGGCATTACAGGCGCCAGCCACCACACCCTGCTAATTTTTGTATTTTTAGTAGAGATGGGGTTTCGCCACGTTGGCCAGGCTGGCCTCACACTCCTGACCTCAGGTGATCCGCCCACCTTGGCCTCTCAAAGTGCTGGGATTACAGGCATGAACCACTGCACCTGGTCTTTTCAGAGTGGCCTTTTCTAAGCCGCTGATCAGAAGTGACAGCCCCGTGCTCACAACCCTTCAATGGTTCCCCACAGGTGGCAGATCAAATCCAAAGTCGTCGAGGGCCCTTTGAGTTCTGGGCCCTGCACCCGAAGCCCAGCTGCCCAGAGCCCCTTAGGGCCTCGGTGAGCTGTGCTCCTGCCCGCCTGCTGCTACTGGTCCCTTAGCCAGGAAAGCCAGGTTCTCCCCTGCCCTTTCTGCTCTTCCCTCGTTTTTCTAAGCCCCAGTTCAATAGACACACGATGTCACTTGTGTTGTGGCAACACATGAGGTGCAGAAGCAGGTGGTGGTGGGCTCTGAGAAGGGCTGATTGAACGGTCTGCTTTATTCCCTTTCATAAATTTTCCTCTCTTGGAAGATTGACCTTTGTAAAGAAGAAAAACATTTTAGAAGAAAAAAGAAAAAGAACTCTGCGTGCCCTCAGCTCAGATGCCATCTCCTCTGGGAGCTCCTCTGGCCCCTGCCAAGGCTGGATCAGGTGCCCTCAGGGCACACACGATGCTGACCCAGCGCCATCTGTGGCCCAGACTCTGGGTCCCTCGTGCAGCCCTCACCACTACTCAGGAGGCCACAGGAATGGAGGAATCACTGGCCCATTTTATAGATGGGAAAGCTGGACCCAGAGAAGTGAAGCAACTTGCCTGACGCACAGTGGCTGAGGGGCTCCCATATTGTTTCCCCTGCCCCACGCTGTTTCCATGGGACTTCCACAGGCACGGCCCTTCCCACAGCAGGCTGAGCGCATGGCAGGAGTACAGCGCTGCTGCCCAGGGACGGAGCAGGAGGGCTAGGGAGAGAGACAGGGCTGCCCCTGGTGCCCGCAGACAGGTCAGCAAAGCCAATGAACAAACTCTCTCAGCAGGGTGGGGACGGGTGAATGGGGCCCACAACCCACCCCACAGGCACCTGGTCTACACAGGTCTGCAGGCCTGTGCAGGTACTTGGCTCCTTGACCAAGGAGGGTGATGAGGCCCCGCCTGACCCCAGAGATTTCAGCATCTGGTTAGGTGGGCAGGAGGACAGTCTCTCTGGACTCTCAGAGGTGGGGAATGAGTCAGCGCTTGCCAAGAGGTGGAGACCCAGTCACCCGCGGATGCTTGGGATGGGCAGAGCCTCCAGGGGTGAAGCCTTCTAGGGTCTAGGGTCCCACATGGTGGTCTGCGGAGGGCTTTCTGTTCTTTCAGGCCCTGCAGAGGAGACCAAGGCTCAGCTGGCAGCTGTGGGGCCAGATTCTCCTCTTTGCCTAGGGGAGAGCCCCCTGCAGCACCCCTTGAGAGCCCCTGGGGACCTGCTCGGGGCACACCCTGGTCCTGAGGAGGCCCGGCGCTGGGAGCACTGCAGCCAGGATGGAAGAGGCAGTCTTCAGACAGGCGCTCTCTAGGCTGGCCCTGTGGCAAGGGAAGGCCAGACGGAGGAACCTGGAGGGGCTTGTGAGCTGGTCCCTGCCCCCAGAAACCCAGAAGAGGCGGACTCGAAGCCCATGCTGGGCAGTAGGCACCGGCAGCCTGCTCCACATGAGGTCTGCCCTCCTGAGGGTGCCGGGAGAGCACAGCCCTGGGAAGACTGTGGCCTGGGCTGTGACCTGAGGACTAGGAAGCATTTATGATAGGAATGGAGAGGCCTGAGTCCCTGTTGAAGCCCGGCATCACATCCCATTCCTGAGCACCAAAGGCCCGAGGCCCTGGGTAAGAGAAGCTTCCTGAAGGGCATCCTGAGGGCCCTGCCCCGATCGTGTCCTCTTTGGAGAATTTCAGGCGGGAGGCTGCCATGGGCCAGACGACGAGCTGGACAGGGAAAAGGCAGGAACATCTGGCCTTTGCCTGCCTCTCGCCACACTCCCCGCTTTCCTCCACACTGTGGCCAAAGTTCTCCCTGGGCTTTCCACCGGTGCCTTCGCTCATGGCCTGTGCGTGCTATTCCTTCTGTCTGGAATGCTTTCTCCCCCTTTGCTTCCCCTTTCTAATTCTTCATTTTTCAGGTCTCACCTTAGAAGTCACTTCTTCCAGGAAGTCCTTCCTGCTTTGTCCTCCTCTGATCTGGGCTGGATGTCAAGCCTCTGTGCCTCCAGGACGTCCTTCCTGCCTCTCACCCTCAGCCCCGGATGGAGTTCTGGCTTTCCCACCTATCTCCCCTCTCACCCTTAGCCCCAGATGGAGTTCTGGCTTTCCCACCTGTCTCCCCTCTCACCCTCAGCCCCGGATGGAGTTCTGGCTTTCCCACCTGTCTCCCCTCTCACCCTCAGCCCTGGATGGAGTTCTGGCTTTCCCACCTGTCTTCCCTGACAGTTCAGAGGCTTCTGGAGGGTCAGCCCTGGTTCTGGCCTGCTTAGTGTTGCAGCCCACACGCCTCGCCAGATGTGCAGAGCTTAGTATGTTCTCAGTCCATGTTTTTGAATGAGCACATGGATACATGAACAAAACCCCAACAAAATCATCCACAAAAAGTGTGATCATTTCCCAGGCCCAATGGGAAGATCTCTGCCCAGGTTTCCTCCAGGTGGACACCTTGCCCTGGGCACTGCCCGTGTGTGTGCGTGTGCACGAGTGCCTGTATGTGTGTGCATTTGTGCGCATGTGCATGTGTGCGCATGTGCATGTGTGTGCATGTCTGTGTATTTGTGTGTACATTTATGTGTGTGGGTGTGTGTACATGTGTGTCTGTGTGTACATGTGCGTGTGTGTGTCTGTTCGTGTGCATGCACGTAGAGGTTGCTCACCTCTTGCTGAGCTCCTTCAGGGCGCCGCTCCGGCACAGGCCCAGGTAATCCCCCAGGAGCTTCAGCTGCTCCCAACTCCTTCTAATGAGGTGCATCCGCTCCACGTGCTCGTTCAGAGATGCGTTCACCATCTGCAGGTTGATGAGGGGCTGGGCCCAGATCTGCGTCAGAAATTTCAGGTCCTGTCTGCAGATCTGGGGGTACCACCAGGCATTGGGGATAGGAAGGAATGGCTGTTTAGTGAGCACTGCCCGGCCAGGTGCCACATGACCCACTCACTTACCTGAGGGGCTATCTTCATTTTACAGATGGGGAAACTGACGCTCAGGGAGATGAGGGGATTTGGCTAGGGTCACCCAACTTGTACAGTCAAGCTCTGAACCCAGTTTATCTGACTCCCTAACCCACTCTCCCTCTAATGGCGAGGGTCGCTGCCCCTCCCCAACCATGCTAAGATGAGGGAGGGACTGCTCTGGCTAATGCCCCCTCCTTCTGGGCCTCACAGGTCAGGGTCTCTGGGTTGAGGAACCCTCGGGGCTCCTTCCCCCAGAGTTGTTTCCTGGCCACGCCAGTGACCCCATCCTATTCCTAGGGTCAGAGTGCCACAGCAGACACATCTGGGCTGAGGGCTGCCTGTGACCTTCCTCCCTCTCCCATAGAGGCAGCCTTCCAAGTTTCCCACCCCCGAGTACACAGTGGAGCTGAGGGGGGCCACTCTCTCGGGCCCCCAAAGACAAATCCAGTAGGAAGAATGTGCTGGAAGTGAGTGGCGGGGGTGGGGAGAAGGAGGGAAGGGGCTTAGTGATGCCTGCTGGCCCTCTGACGACTATTGACCTGGAAATGACCTGGTGGGGTTTGACCCTTAATTCTCTATGAGCCAACACTGAGTGCAGCTTTTGGCTGTATTAATAGAGGTAGGAATCCAGAGCCAGAGAGGTGATACTGGTGCAGTTGTTGGCAGTGCTCTGGGACCCTTACTGTAGGCAAGCCCCAAGAAGGAGGACCTGGGAAGAACTGGGGCTACCATTCTCGGGGCTCAAGGCCAACGCTGGGCCTCCGAGGGGATCTATCCTGTGCTTCTAGCATCACAGATTCTGCAGTTCCCTCTCCAGGAGTTGAGTTAATAATCCTTGCCCTGGAGGGTGGTGAGGAGTAGGGCCTCTGGGAGAAGAAATTCTCATGCCTAGAATGGCAGCCCTCGTCCCAGCCCCGAGAGAGACAGGAGGCTCGGTGTCCTTGACTGCTTACTGTGACAGGCCTGGTTGGGAAACCTCTTTCTCCCCAGATCCCCTTCCCTGCCCCAAGCCAGAGCCCCATTTCCGACTGGACCGCATCCCCAGTGAATAAACCGGGGCGGTGGGCAAGACTACCAGGTTACCCCCGCAGGAAGGATACCCCCAGGGCCACACCCTTCACTGTCCATGTGTTGTCTTGTTTTTAAACTACTCTTACCCTGACCTCAGTCCCTAGAAGGTCTGAGGCAGATCACAACAGAAACACACGTGGTGAACTGGCAAATTCACTGAAAAGCCAGGACCACGAAAAGCAAGTTAGAGACGGGACTCAAGACGGAGAGGAATTAGGGGGCAGATGATGTACAGGTGCTAAGGTGGTGGTTGCTGAAGAAAATTTAGCTCTGACTTTCCTGCTAGGTAAGGTGAAAAGAGAAGGGCTATCAGGTGCATATCTCTTTGTTGTTGAAAAATTAATAAAACCCACCCAGATGTTGAGGGAATCAAAGCTTTTTCCTAACCCTTCGCTCTTAAATTTCTTGTGTGTAGTTCCATGAACATGGGATCTAGAAGGACAGGCAGGTACCCTGCAAAACAGCTCCAGGGAGGTTTAACGGGGCTGCTTCAGGTAGCATTACTATGATGAAGGCCAGCAGCATGACCTCGTGTCTGAGCTCAGACAAAGCAGTTCTGCAAGGAACCTGACTGTATAGTTTCTTGACTATTCACCAAGCTCCATTCAGTTCTAGAGCCATTCAGTTCTACAAAGCAAAGTTGGAAAACTGGTTTTGTAGCAGGACGAGAAGCAGACAAAACTCCTCAGACACCGGATTAAAGAAGGAAGAGGTTTTTTTTAATTCAGCCGGGAGCGTCGGCAGACTCACGTCTTAAGAGCCGAGCTCCCGAAAAAAGAAATTCCTAGCCCTTTTAAGGGCTTACAACTCCAAAGGGTCCACGTGAAAAGGTCATAAGTCAAGTAAGCATGAGGAACTTAACTGGGGGCTACATACATCAACTAACAGAACAAAAAGTTTTACAGTGCTTTCTCATACAATGTCTGGAATTTACAGATAACACTAGTAGTTTTGGTCAGGGGTTAATATCATTATTATTTTAACCACCAGAGCCAGGTGGTGGTGCCAAGTTCATCTAGCTATTTATCTTACTTTTGTTTCTTTCCAAATTTTGGCTTTCCCCCTTCTCTCCTGTCTTATAAACTAGGGAAAAGGGGAGGTGGAGGAGAAGCTGGGAGGGACAGCAGAAGTGGTGGCCTCACTCCATAGTTTCCTCTCATGAGCTGCTCTGATGAGTAGGTCTGGAGTTCTGTGGGGTTTTGTTTTTGTTTTTATTTTTTGTTTTTGTTTTTAGAGACAAGGGGGTTTGGGTTTTCTTTCTACCCAGCAGGCACGGCTCAGTGGCAGACACCAACCACTGGCATCGGGGTTGTATTTCATAATTCGCAGGGTACTTGCAGAACCTTTCCTCATTTAAGCTTTGTAATAACCCCACAAAATGGCTGGTAGTAGCTGAATTTTACAGACACTGAAATGGAAGCTTGAAGAAATTAGGTGAAGGTCAGGGTAAGGCAACTAGTGAGCAGCAGAGCCCGCCCTCTGGTCCCAAGGTCCAGGGACCCTTCTGCCTGCCCCTGGGGGAGACAGGGCACGTGTTCAGGACTTGAGTCAGGGCCTTTGCTTTTTGCCCAGGACACACCCACTGGCTGCTCCCACGGGCCCCCGCTGTGGAGACATCTCTACACCGTAAGAACTATCCAACCACGGGGTGCCGAAGCCAGCCTTGCCCCACAGTCCTGAGGCATCAGACACTGTGCAGACTGCCCTGCCCCCTGCCGGCTTCCTGTCCACTCCCTATGGCCAGCCCTGACCCCAGCCCCTGTCCCCCAGCCACTTCATTGCTCGCCATAGCCCCTACTCTGCTGCTTCCATCCTGGGGCCCGAGTGGAGGGGTGGACCGAGAGGAGGCTGGCATTGCTGAGCCAGCAGCAGGGACACTAGACACACGCAGCAAGGGGTAATGGAGCAGAACGCAGGCTCTGGAACCAGCCAACATGGCGAAACCCTATCTCTATTGGAAACACGATAATCAGCTGGGTGTGGTGGTGCACGTCTGTAATCCCAGCTCCTGGGGAAGCCGAGGTACTTGAGCCCAAGAGTCGAGGTTGCGGCAAGCTGAGATCATACTACTGCACTCCAGCCTGGGTGACACAGCAAGACTCTGTCCCAAAAAAAAAAAAAAAAAAGGCCGGGCGCGTGGCTCAAGGCCTGTAATCCCAGCACTTGGGAGGCCCGAGACGGGTGGATCACGAGGTCAGGAGATCGAGACCATCCTGGCTAAACACAGTGAAACCCCGTCTCTACTAAAAAATACAAAAAACTAGCTGGCCGAGGTGGCGGGTGCCTGTAGTCCCAGCTACTCGGAGGCTGAGGCAAGAGAGATGGCCTGAACCCGGGAGCGGAGCTTGCAGTGAGCCGAGATCCGGCCACTGGCACTCCAACCTGGGGTGACCAGAGCGAGACTCCGTCTTCAAAAAAAAAAAAAAAAAAAAAAAAAGAGAAACACTGGAGGACAGTTAAACAAACAGCAATCCTCCACGCCTGGCCACACTAAAATACCAAAATCAGCTGGGCGTGGCAGGTGCTGTAATCCCAGCTACTCGGGAAGGACCATTGAAACAAACAGCAGATCCTCCAGCCTGGCCAACATAAAAATACAAAAATCAGCTGGGCGTGGCAGGTGCCTGTAATCCCAGCTACTCGGGTGGATGAGATAAGAATCACTTGAACCTGGGAGGCGGAGCTTGCAGTGAGCCGCCACGACAAAGGGAGACTCGATCTCAAAACAAACAAACAAACAAAAAACAAAACAAATAGCAGATCTGAACAAGCCCCGCAGAGCTGTTACATAAACCAACTACTGAGGGTAAAGACTTTTGGAAGGACCATTTAAAACACCTGGGGCTTCATGGGGTTAGATTAGATCTGAGCTACAGGTGGAATCAAGAGCTCTCTCTAATCATCACTTGCATAGAGTAGTTTTCAGGAAAATATTTTCCTATTTGACAGGTGAAACAGTATTTTTGTCCTCTGTAGGCAGTTTTGAGACAATATAGTACTTTTCTGGAAATGCTTCCCTGAATGAGCACAATTATGATGACATTCTGCAATGAGGTTTTATAGTACTTGTGGGAACACCTTGCCCCTTTAGCAATGGAAAACAGGACTTCAGAGCTGCCTTCTGAAAGGCCTGGTCCCTGCAGATGGGACCCACCTGGGACCCTCCTGGTCACCTACCCATCTGCCTCTGGTGTACCACCCAGAAGCTCTTATGCCCCTGTGCGGGGGCTGCCTGGGGGCATTAGACCAAGCATGTGTGCCTTCCCCAGGAAGCAGGCAAACCAAGGAACCAGGCAAACCCAGATCTGAATGCAGCCATGCCACTTCATCACTATGTGACCAGATAGATTTCCTAACCTCTCTGAGCATCCATTTCTTCAGCTGTAAAATAATGATAGTTCTTACAGTGTGTTGTTGTAAAGATCAATTAGTAGGGGGAGTTCTGAGTGGTGGAAATATGAGTGGTGGTTATTCTTGTCTTTGTGCCTACCTTTAAAAAAAATTAACAGATCCTTTCTACCACAGCAGCTCCCAAGTTACTAGGAGCTGACTCTGGCCACACCAGTCACTCTCTACCCATCTCCCCAGGCTGCTTCTGGCAGATCGGCTTCTTCTTTGTACGACCCGAGCTCTGTGCCTTCTCTGGCCTCTATTACTGTGACATTTGCCACCAAGACGATGCCTCAGTGATTCTGGACAGGGTCATCCACAACTGGGACCTCACCAAGCACCTGGTAAGTCTCGAGCCCAGCCTGTCACAGCCACTCAGGGCTGCTGAGCGACAGAGGGGTGTTCACTCCTCTTTGCTGCTGCTCTTCATCTGTTTAGAGGAGTTTGGCTCCTCTAAACAAGGGAAGCCAGGGTCACTGGTTCAGGCACTGTGATGTAGGGGAGCTAACCAAGAGAAAAGCTTGGTGCTTGTCCACAGCTCTGGGCAGAGCTCCGTCGGTGGCTGTCTTGGTCCCCAGGAGGGAGTCTGAGGATGGTTTCCTGCAGCTACAAACATAACTGCTTAAGGCACCAACAGATAAATGATAGATAGATAGATAGATAGATAGATAGATAGATAGATAGAAAGAAAGAAAGATAGATAGATAGGCAGGTGGATGGTGGATGAGTGGATGGGCAGGTGGATGGGTAGATTGGTGGATGGGTGGATAGGTAGGTGGATGGGAACCTGGCTAGGTAGATGGGTAAATGGGTAGGTGGATGAGTGGATGGGTTGGTGGGTAGGTGGATGGGTAGATGGGTGGGTGAATGGGTAGATGGCTAGATGTTAGGTGGATGGGTAGGTAGATGGGTGGGTGATTGGGTAGATGACTAGATGGGTAGATGGGTAGTTGGATGGGTAGATGGGTGGGCGGTGTGTAGATGGGTGGGTGGATGGGTGAATAGTTAGGTGGATGGGTAGATGGGCTGGCCAGAGAGTCGGCTATACCTTGGAGCAGTCATCCTTAAAGACTATCAAGTAGGCGTATCCATCAATTAATGACGAGGAACCAAGAAGACAGTAAATGACAAAGCTAATGTAGTAGCAAAGCTGACACAAGGTGACATGGAGCTCAAAGAAGGAACAGACTTTTAATAATATGTCTAAAGCAATAGTTTCATAAATGCAATTGTTAGCTCAGAGGAAGTAATAATGACCCACACGGTGAATGGTCCATGGTAGAACTGCATTCTTTCTAGCCTTCTATGATTCCATAGCAAGCTGCAGAAAGAGAAAAAAGAACGTGCACTGTGGTAGACTATAAAAAATTGCTTCAACAAAATTTCCAACCAAAATTGGTCTTCCAGACCTTTCTCCATCCCTTTATCCTGAATGGGCTTCTATAAAATCCTCAACAAATAGAATATACAGAGAATGACAGTGTATGATTTCTGAGGATAAGTTCTGAAAGTTAATACAGCTCACTGTCTCTATTGAAGCTTGTTGTGGAATGTACCAGGTATAACGAAGCCAATGCCATGTAGAAAGTCAGCATGTGAGTCTTCCAACAGACAGCATCAGCTAACATCTAAGCCAATGGCTGGCATCAACTTCCAGATTTGTGAGGAAGCACTCTTTAGACAATTCTAGCAACCAGTCTTTGCAATACCCCCCAATGACAATGATCAGAGCAAAATCAAAATAAAATTGCTGCTTTATGAAAATAAATGTTGTCATTGTTTTAAGCCACTTAATTGAGGGTTAGTGTATTACACAGAAATAGATGACCAGTAAAAACTTTGAGTACTGAAGATGTAAGAGCACTAAGGATTAAAAGTGCTGAAAGAACTGGAAGTGAACAGCAGAGGAGGAAAAGTTAAGAAGGAAATGAGAGCTCCTCAGAATGTCAAAAACAGAGAGATTTGCATTTTGGCTGAGGATAAGAAGAACATAGATCAAAGGCATAGAGAACAAAATATGCTTGAAATATAGACTCAACTCCCAGAGTTTCAGCTACTGATAAAAGTCAGATTCTTTCAGAAGTCAAGAGATCAAGACTATCCTGGCCAACATGGTGAAACCCCGTCTCTACTAAAAATACAAATTAGCTGGGCGTGGTGGTGGTGCCTGTAGTCCCAGCTACTCGGGAGGCAGAGGCAGGAAAATCGCTTTACCCTGGGAGGCGGAGGCTGCAGTGAGCCAAGATTGTGCCACTGCACTCCAGCCTGGCGACAGAGTGAGACTCCATCTCAAAAAAAAGAAAAAAAGAAAGTCAGATTTTTTCAGACAGAAGTATTTTAGCAGTATTCAAAATAAATTTACTAAGAAAATCAGTGTCTCTTTTGGGAAAAGTGACCATCTCCTAGTCCAACTGTCTACCTAAAAGCAGAGTCTGAAATATATATAGCATGTAATTGTTACTGTATTTCTTTTCTCATAGTTAAAATCATTGAATGCCATCTTTGGTATGAAAACATTGTGCAGAGTTCAAAACACTAAAAATATACAAGTAGTTCTTAGTGTTTGGTTATAAAAACAAACTACATTAGATGAGATAAAAGAGCTACTGCTTTTCATTTATTCAATAATAGTTATATTGAATCTTACTGCTATTGATCTTTACATATACGCAGTGGAACAATGAGTTTATTAATAATATTTCAAAATTTTAAAATAAACTGAAAATTCAAAATTATAGAGCTAAATTTACACATAATACTATACTAACAAAATTCTGTGTGGTCAAGGATATTTATTTGAACATAATTTTATATTTAGTTAATGATAATAGCCAGATAATTGCTTTTCTATGAAGAAATGCTGAAAAGGATGAGAAGGCACTATTTTAAAATAAACAGCTGAGATTTAATCAGAACACCATTGATCAATAACTGTTTTAAAATCACTGAAATAAAAATCATCTGACATATGTTGTTTATCTTAAGTATATACTAATTTTATAAGTTTTTGTACACACACACACACACACACACACACACAAAAGCACTTTTCCCAGCTTTCTCTTCATGGAGTAATTTAATTTATTCCATTTTAAAAATCTTAGACTCAGAAAATAATAAATAATTAAGGAATATAATAGAACTGATTACATGATTTCAGTAAGCTAAAAATGATGTTTGCTCTGTATTTCTCACTATATCAATGATATTCTTCATTATACAAGTATAACACTTTCTAAGAGCAATTAGTTAAGTAAAACTTTGTCAGGGAGAAGATATGAGGGTTATTTTCTTGTTTAAAAAAACTAACTTGCCAACAAACAGGCATGATTGAATGAGAAAAGCTTCAGTTGTTTACGACCCTGCTCCTGAAGTGAAATTTGGATCCTAAACACCAAATGGTGGGTTCATCTGCCATGATGCATGACATCTGTTTCATCAAACAGAATAAACTCTGTTAAAGATGTTCCTTAAAAGGTCTAATTTCAAGTATACCCTGCCATCAGAGTTGATCTACCATAGGTAGACTAACAAATACCAACCAAATAAAATCTAATGCATAAAGGACAGAAAAACAAGTTATATGTTTCCCCAAATTTACAAAATTGATTGCTCATTAAGATGTTCATGGCTGGGTGCAGTGGCTCACACCTGTAATCCCAGCACTTAGGGAGGCCGAGGCGGGCAGATCACAAGGTTCAGAGATGGAGACCAACCTGGGCAACATGGTGAAACCCCATCTTACTAAAAATACAAATTAGCTGGGCATGGTACCACACCTACCACACCTGTAGTCCCAGCTACTCAGGAGGCTGAGGCAGGAGAACTGCTTGAACCCAGGAGGTAGAAGTTGCAGTGGGCTGAGTCTGTGCCTTTGCACTCCAGCCTGGTGACAGAGCAAGACTCCGTCTAAAAAATCATAATACAAAAATAAAAAGATGTTTATATGTACATCTTAATTTAATTCACTATCTCAGATTATTTTTAAATTTGCTTTTAAGCTTGATGGAAAATTCCTCTGATCTGTGGTATAATCTGAGTTCAAAATGGATTAATCATTTCCAAATTTTTATCTTGAATCAGGAAACATTCATTTATTACAAGCCATTTGTAAAATTGCTTTTAAACCTATACAATAGGAATTTGATTGGGTTACTAAGGTAAGTCTGGACATGATAAAGTAGGTTGTAAAAATTTGAAATTTTTAATCACACGAATCAAATCAACATTCTAGGAAATCAAGTATGATATCTATTGAAAGGGTGATGACATTTTAATAATTACGGTATTGTGCTTTTATAGCCGGTTTCTGAAATTGTACTATCACTGATTATCACAGACAAGATACAATAATAAGGTTACCCGCAGAGAAAAGATAAAATGCCTTGTAAATTCAACTTTCTAGATTTTCAATGTTCGAGTTTTTGTACTAAACAAAGTTGAAGTCATATGTTCAGAAACGTTCCTGTATTTAAAAAACAAGCTTCCGGCATTTCCCCATGAAACACATTTCTAAGTACCAAGATGGAGTAATTAGAGAGATGTTTCTGCATGGAATTCTATAAATTGTCACACCTGTTTAGTTGAACAAAATGAAAATATGCAGACTCGAACATAATTCAAGGAATTATTAAAAGACTTACACTTTACCAGCAGAAATTACTTAATATAGGAAAAGCATCAGTCATTTTTCAGGGAGTCATCAAGTGACTTTTAAATCACTAAAAATGACAAATTAGAAATGCAAAATTATCACTACATAAGCAGTATTACTGCGATGTATAGAACATCTGTCACCAGTGATAGCTATTCAACATTCTTCAAGGGGGGCCAATTGATGCATTCAATATTACAAGGCTAAAAGCAGTGATTACATTTTTTTTCACTTTTAAAACAAAGAAAGCAATCATATAATTTTCAGTTAGTATAAAAACTGAATGTACTCTGAGTCAAAAATAAGCAGGTATTATTTTCCATATGGCCATTTGTAGCAAATCATACATTTCATTTTTAAGAAATGGTATATTTTTCAAAGTTTTTTCTGTGTGTTAATAAAACACCTCCGTGAAATCACAGAAAGCTGTGATTCTTTTCTTTCTGTACATGGCAATAAGAGTGTACAATACTCGGCCAGACGCAGTGGCTCATGCCTGTAATCCCAGCACTTTGGGAGGCCGAGGCAGGAGGATCACAAGGTCAGGAGTTCAAGACTATCCTGGCTAACACGGTGAAACCCCCTCTCTACTAAAAATACAAAAAAGTAGCCGGGCGTGGTGGCGGGCGCCTGCAGTCCCAGCTACTCTGGAGGCTGAAGCAGGAGACTTGCTTGAACCCAGGAGGTGGAGGTTGCAGTGAGCCAACATAGTGCCGTTGCACTCCAGCCTGGGCAACAGAGTGAGACTCTGTCTCAAAAAAAAAAAAAAAGAGTGTACAATACTCAAATATAACTCTGCGATTTCAGACTAAAACAATTATGCCATACCTATTTTCAAATATGTCTGTCGGCAGAGAATAATACTTTGAACTTATTTTAAGATTAAGAACATCCCCACATCTCGTACTCTCCTCATTATCAAACATTTATTCCATACCTTCTATGTGCTGTAAAGTAGGGCTGTAAATCTGAATTGATCACAGGCTTTGCTGTCAGGAACTTTGCAAATCAGTAGGAGGAGTAAAGGAAGTGGATTTTTGCAGAAGTGAAGGAAAAGAAGAGAGACTTTATTCTAGAGAAGATACAATATATGAGTGACAGCAGAGAAAATATGAACGTATATGGCCTGTTCATAATACAATCACTAAGACTAGTTGATTACAGCAAATGATTGGTTAAGAAAATATTGAAAAATGCTTATAAAAGTAGACATCAATTACATAAACACCTGAATGCCATAAAAAGGATACTGGATTTGACTGCATTCACAAAATGGTGGAAAAAAAAATTAAATGAGAAGTTGTTATGCCAAACAATAGCAAAAGTAGCCAAAGCTAAAATTAATTAAATCTTACCAAGTATTTTACATGAATTGGTTCATTTAGTCTTAAGAAAAACACATGAAAAATGCTACTCAATTCTCTTTCCCCTTAAGTTCACCCTCTTGACAGTGCTCCATTTACTGGTTTCCTCATTTATATTAGTGAATTTCATTTTTAAACAATTACCAAATTATACTGAAGTCAGGACCACTTTACAAGAAATTGATCTTTACGCCTAATTATACATAACTGATTTTAGCTAAATGTCCCAAATTACTGTTTCTACTTGAAATGGCCCTGTTTAGAATCACTGAAGAGTTGCTTGTTTCACTGAAAACCCAGAAAAGTTCTGAAAATTAAAAAGAAACAGAGAGAGAGAGAAAGCCACATTGACATTTGCTATTCTGTGTTGGTGTAACTTTTACTCAGATGAACTCTGTTACTGAAAACTACAAAAGTTCTGTATAAATACACACAGAAATCTGCACAAAGCCCTTTCAGAACGAACAAAACCAGGCAGAAACAGAATGCGTGAGTAAACTCAAAAACTTATCCAAAGAAATTATCTAATCTGAAGAATGGTGAGAGGACCACAAATGGTTGAACTAAAATGAACAGAGCCTCAGTGACCACTAGGAGAATTCTGAGTCTACCATGCGTGTAACTGTAGAAGGAAAGGAAAGAGATATTTTGGCAAATAACTCCTTGGCAAATATGTGGCAAATATCAAAAGAGGCTGAATTACAATTCTGGTAGAATTTTTAAAATAAATTGACAAGTGAATTCTAAGATTTATATGTATACGCAAAGGATCTAGAATAGTCAGAACAATTTTGATAAAGACTAAGAAACAAGAGGATTTGTTTTATAGAACCTCAAGTTTTAATATAAATATACACTAATCAAGAGACACTAGTATTGGCTAAGGAAAGAAAAACAGATCAATAGCATATAATAGACATTACAGAACTAGACATACACACATATATGTTTAATTTATGTTTGATAAGACGCCAAACAAATCTGTGGGTAAAAGAAAGAGTTGCCACATGGTGCTGAACTGTATTTCCATATATTAAAAAAATAAACCAACCTTCCATTAAATGCAAAAATTAACTGAGTG